AGGGCCAGTACGTGCAGGACTGGGCGCTGATATTCAAGTTCAACATCTTCGCGAACACAGAGGGCCAGCACAGGCTGGACTACGACACGCTGACCCCGAACTACTTGGCGCTGAGCTTCAATTTCAACATCCTCACGAACACAGAGGGCCAACACATGCAGAACTACACCGCGCGGCCCCTGAAGTGCCACCAGCGGAACGATCGCACGCTGAACGTGACTTGCCGCGTGCTGCTTCAGACGACGCACGAGACCAGGCTGAATGGCAGCAACAATACGGGCAATTACACGATGAGGAAAGAGCTCCCAGGGACCATAGCCATCACGCAGGGGATCGAAGGCTACAAGTGCACCCTGGACCCCCCCCCCCCCCCCCCCCCCCCCCCCCCCCCCCCCCCCCAGGAAGAGCGACGCCCCAGAGGGCAAGGAACGCCTGCAGGAGATAGGGTCGCCAGCGCCGCCCTTCGCGCTGGCGGTCTCGCAAGGGCTGTGCCGACGTGGGCGGCTCCGTGGAGGGTGCCATTCGGGACCGCCTGCGCCGAGCGGTGACCGAGGACATCGAGGCAGAACACAGAGGGCCATCACATGCAGGATCACACCACGCGGCTCCTGAATTACTACCAGTGGAACAATTGCACGCCGAACGTGACTTGCCACCTGGGCCACTACATCCACATCCAGCTCGCGAAGGACTACTGGATGTCCCAGGGCATCTCGACCACATCTCCGACAGATGCCGTACAACTCAGACTATGATTTACGCAGGCATTAAGATCCGCCAGTGCACTACCGACGCCCCGCGTCATTTCGAGGGGTGGCGGGGCGCGCACGAGCAGCTCAGTAAATCGCAGCATCGCAGTATCCAGGCGCCAAAGCCGCAAGATAGATATCGACAAGGCACGGCGCCCCCCACAATCTGACCTACGGGGCGCGGACGCCGTCGAGCTTCATCGGGGCCAGCTCCGCTCTCGACTCAATGCTGCGTATTCCCCACCGCGGCCGAACGGAGCAGGTCATTGCCAACGCTGGAAAGCAGGATGCCGCCGACCATGGGGCTGGGTACCGCAGGCACATACCGACATCCCTAGTCGCGTCATGCCCATCCCGTTCACGGACCTCAACCAAGGGCCAGGGCGACGATCACGACAGCGCCGCGCCGACAACGCAATCGGCAGCTACCAACCCAGCGACGAGACCGAGCTCGGACGCTTGATTCACGACAAGTTCCTGACGCACCAGCTGACAGCCATCAACATGCACATCGACGTCGGCAATACCTACTACGGGCACAACAAAGCCAGATCAAGCATCAACTACTTCATCGGCCAGGACAACTCCATGGAAATCGTGAAGCACGTGAAGCTGAATTGGAAGATCCACACCAAGCTAAGTAGCCTACTACCTGCTGCCGACCACATCCCCATGATTATGCAGATCAAGATGCATGCCAGCGGCGCCAACGTCACGAACAACAACATCCGCTGGGACTATGGCATACTTGCTGCTGGGCTCCAGACGGGCGCCCACCGTGCGTCTTCTCTCAACGACGCCTACGCCGAGATTGGCAAACGCAAGGAGGCCCTCCGAGTTGTCAAGATGGATCAGTGCCCCCCCCCCCCCCCCCCCCCGAGGCCAGCGCGAGCACCTCTTCCCTCCTCTCGGCGGCAACGCGCGACGGGGCGGACACCGACGACGAGACACGCCCCACCTTCGAGTGCAACGTCGGGCCGTGCCAGAAACGGATTACCACGCGCTCGGCCATTCCAAGCGCTCCCCCGCCGCGCCCTGCGCCATCCAGATGCCGTCCCTCGCCCGCCATCGAGGACACCCCTGATGCAAGCGCGTCCAACTGCCAGTCGGTGGAACACATCGCGGGCAGTGACCTACGCAGCAGACCTAGACACCGACCACTTCGACGGCTACAAGCAGCGCAGCGCCCAGCAGCAGTATATGTAGCGCCCACGCGGGCGATCCGAGTGGCTAATGTTTCTTCTACGCCCACTCTCCCTGGGCAGGGGGGCGACGCCCAAGCGGAGAGCGTCGTGGCGACTCCCGCTGGGCCCCTCGCAGGGCTCGAAGGGCTCGGGCACCGCTACGACGACGCCACTTACGCTGGTGATCGGCGCGCCCGTGTGGGAGGGCCAGGCGGTCCACCACCGAGGCGTGGCCCCAGTGGGCTGGCCCGAGGGGGAGGTAGGCCACTGGCTAGAGACGCTCGAGCAGTGAACCCGCCGTTTTGCCAGAGCGAGCCTGTCTTTCTGCCGGATCGAGCCTGCGCGCCAGAGCGGAGGCGAGTCCGCGCCGTGTCAATTTTTGTTCGAGGCTAAAGCCTCCCTGCCAGTAGCAGCACGGTCACGGTCACATCCCGCCCTCCCCCGTCGCGCCTCCCCCCCCCTGCCGTGCCAGCGCATGCAGAGGAGCTGCGCGGGGTGGGGGCCCCACCCCACCTGAGTTCAATTGCCGAAGACGAAGCGGCCAATCTTATTCAGCTAGCATTTCGACGCTGCTAGGCACGCGCTGCGCAGGAGGCCCCTCCGAGCAGCACCCTGGCAGTCTGGCCCAAGCGGGGCAACGCGAGACAGTCGGCTCTCTGCGACGGATCTCTCAAGTCTGGTTTCAGTGTGTACCATATTATGATATCAGATATTGGTCCTGACGTCGAGGAAAAATCAGTATCATCCTCCTCCTCATCATCATCATTATCATTATCATTATCATTATCATTAGCATTATCATTATCATTATCATTATCATTATCATTATCATTATCATTATCATTTGCATCCTTCTCCTCCTCCTTCTCCTCCTCCTTCTCCTCCCTCCTTCTCCTCCCCCTCCTCCTCCTCCTCCTCACCCTTCCTCCATCTCCTCCTCCTCCTCCCCTTCCTCCTCCTCCTCCTCCTCCTCCTCTTCATCCCCCTCCTACCCCTCTTCCTCCTCCTCCCACCGTTATCATCATCACCACCACCACCACCACCATCATCATCATCATCATCATCATCATCATCCTCATTTTCATCACCGCCATAAACATCATCGTTATCATCGTTATCATCATCACCATCACCATCATCATCATCAGCATCATCATCATCATCATCATCATCATTTGCATCCTTCTCCTCTTCCTTCTCCTCCCCCTCCTCCTCCTTCCCCTTTCCGGCCCTAGCATTTTTTGACCCGCGGCGCTGCGACCGCGACCCGTCATCGGAGGCCCTCGGCGTTTCCCTGGAGCGTTTCAGCGACGGGTCTCGGCGCGATGCGGGGCGGCGTGTTGCTTTTCCTGGCCGCTGCCGCGGCGTCGGTTGTCGCAGGGCGGGAAGCACATCCACGTCCACGGCCTCGCGGGCCGGTCGCTTGGGCCGCGACACCGTGGATGCAGGGCGCTGTTGCGCGGGTGCCCCGCGCGGAACGTACCCATGCGATCGCGCATCTACGGGATCGCGACTTTGGGATTCAGACCGCGAGGGCGTGGGTATGAATGCGTTCGCCGCTCGTCAGGCTGAGCCTGGCGCGGCCCCCGGCGAGACGGGCGGGGCCACGTCTCTGTGGCTAGACAGCCTGTGCGGCCCCAGGGACTCCTCGGCGCGGAGGCAAAAGTGGGTCCTCGGGGGGCTACGGGCCATATGGAGAGGTTTCAACTTGCGCTTCGGGAGAGACGAGGATGGATGGATGGATGGATGGATGGACGGATGGATAGAGGATGGATGGACGGACGGACGGATGGATGGATGAGGATGAGGATGAGGATGAGGATGAGTATGAGGAGGAGGAGGATGAGGAGGAGGAGGAGGTGGAGGAGGGGGATGCTGACGCTGATGATGATGATGATGATGATGATGATGATGATGACTCTGCGGTTGCTGAAGATGGTGATGAAGGTGATGACGATCGTGATAATATGCTGCTGCTGCTGATGCTGAGGATGATGATTCTACTAATACTGCTGATGATGCTGATGCTGATGATTATGATGATGAGGATGAGGATAAATATGAGGTGGATGATGATGATGATGATGATGATGATGACGATGTGATGATGATGCTGATGATGATGTTTGTGCTGATGATTGTTATATTTCTGCTGCTGCTGCTGTTTGTGGTGGCTGTGAGGATGAGGATGGGGATGAGGATGAGGAGGAGGATAAAGATGATGATGATGATGATCTAGAGGATGATGATGGTGATAATGATAAAGCTGGTGGTGATGATGATGCTGATGATATTGTGATGGCGATGCTGATGATGAGGTTGATGAAGATGACGACGATGCTGACGCTGATGATGAAGATGATGCTGATTATGATGCAGATGACGATAATGATGATCACAGTCACGGTATCAGTATTGGTGATGATGTTGATGATGCTGATGATGAAAACGATGATGTTGATGCTGTCGATAATGATGACGATGATGATGATGATGATGATGATGATGATGATGCTGATGCTGATGCTGATGATGATGATGATGGTGATGGTGATGATGATGATGATGATGCTGATGATGATGATGATTGTAGTGGTGTGATGATGATGGTGGCGATGTTGATGATGATTATGATGCTGCTGATGATGCTGATGCTGATTATGCTGGCGATGATGGTGATGATGATGCTGCTGCTGCTGATGATGATGATAATGATGATGATGATGATGATGATGATGATGATGATGATGATGATGATGATGATGATGAGGAGGAGGAGGAGGAGGAGGAGGAGGAGGATGATGATGATGATGATGATGCGGCGGAGAAGGAGGGGGAGGAAGAGGAAGGAGAAGAAGGAGTTGGTGGAGGAGGAGGAGGAGGAGGAGGAGGAGGAGGAGGGGGAGCAGGGAGGGAACACCACGCGTGTAATATTATGGCCCTCACCTTGCCCCGGACCGTCAACACAGCACTTCGGGATGAAAAGCTAACCTCGGGGAAGGGCTCTAGACCCATGCGGGTCGCCGACGTGAACAAAAACACTGCGTCGGAGCGATGGGGATGATGGGGAGGGCGAGGAGGGAGAGGAGGAGGATGGACCGGGATGGAGGAGGAGGAGGAGGAGGAATTGCACAGGGCCAGGTCCAGACCTCCGCCGATAGATTCGTGACCCCAGAAGTCTCAACCGCATCCCCGCTGGGGTAGTTTTTCGTTCTGGGTCCATGCTTGGTAGCCTTCGGGCCCGGCAATCGTCTCCGAGGGCTGTATAGGAAAATCGCCTCGATTAATCATCTTGGCGAAGGACCCAAGAATATATAAAGTTGTGGGCGCCGCAATTGTGAATATCTTCTTCGGTGAAGCTTCCTATGGGGCCACGAAGCGCTGCGCTGGGCGGGGGGGAACGCATGCGGGCGGTAGCACTGGGGCCGTCGATGAAGCTTCCTATGAGGCCACGAAGCGCTGCACTGGGTGGGTGAAAATACCAAAGTAGGCGTGTGGGACGCATGCGGGCGGTCCCATTGGGGGCTTCGGTGGAGCTCCCCATGGGGCCGCGAAGCGTTGTAAAGGATGGGTGAACATGCCAAATCGGGTGTGGGGGACGCATGCGTGCGGCCCCACTGGGGTCTTCGGCGGGGCTCCCTATGGGGACACGAAGCGCTGTACTGGGTCGGTAAAAATGCCAAACTGGGTGTGGGGGACGCATGCGGACGGTCACACTGGAGGCTTCGGTGGAGCTCCCTGTGGGGGACGCATGCGGGCCTCCTCCTCCTCCTCTTCCTCCTCCTCCTCCTCCCCTCCTCCTCCTCCTCCTCTTCCTCCTCCTCCTCCTCCTCCTCCTCCTCCTCCTCCTCCTCCTCCTCCTTCCTCTTCCCGGTCCAAAACAGGTCACAGGGAGGAGGTCGCGCGAAGGTCTGGGCACGACGGCTCGGCGTCCCCCCTCCCAGGTATGACCGAGGGGGAAGCGGGGAAGAGGCCGGGCAGGGGGCACAGAGGAGCGAGGGCGAGGATGGGATGGAGAGGGGGGGCCAGGGGGCTTCGGTGGAGCTCCCTAGGGGGCCACGAAGCGCTGTATTGGGCGGGTGAGATGCCAAATTGGGCGTGGGGGACGCATGTATGGCGGTCCTGGCCTTTGGGCTCCGCCCTGCAGGTGTGGGGTAGAGGTGGTCGGTTGTGTTTGGGGGCCCTTTTGCAGCCCCTTCGATCATGGATTTGTGGGAGCCAAGAGAGAGCCACTGACAAAACAAAGGAGGATGAAGAGGAGGATGAGGATGAGGAGGAGGAGGAGGAGAAAATGAGGAAGAGGGGGAGGAGGAGGAGGATCAGGTGGTGGAGGAGGAGGAGGAGGAGGAGGAGGAGGAGGAGGAGGTGGAGGAGACGGTGGTGGAGGAGGAATAGGGGCTGGACGAGGGCTGAAGGCCTGCCCCTGCTAGGGGCCCCTTTTGCTCTGCGCCGTGCTTCGCCTCCCACGCAAGGGGTGCGGGGGGTGCTCTGCCGCACTGCCCGGGGCGTGGCCTCGGAGATCGAGGCGGTCGGGGGGGGGGGGGTATCCTGGCCACTTCGATGGGGTCGGAGTAGTTTGGCCTCCAACCAGGTCTGTGAAAGTTCTCGATTCCCCTGAAAGTTTCTGGACATGGTCGGGACCCGGGGTGGTTTCCATCAGCTGCGTCTCGTCGAGGGTGTTCGGGGGGTGCGAGAATCGTCCCGAACGGTCGCCAGAGAGCCGAGGTCTGGCCAGAAAGCCATTTTGGGCCTCCTCAGGGTTTAGGCGCCCCAGATGGGGTCGGAGTAGACTGGGTCGGAGAATCACGCCGCGTCGCTGATACATCAGCGATGCGGCTCGATGTGGAGCCCGGATTTCTCCACGCCTGCATCGCCGAAGTCGCGGATGCATCGTTGGTGAATCGGAGACGCATCGGCGGTGCGGCGCGATCTTCCGACCCAATTTGGGAGGCCTGTAGGGTAGGCTCTTGGTACGATCGATATGGATACGGAAATAATGGGTGATTCTTCCTCCTCCTGCCCCACCTCCACCACCTGCTCCTCCTATTCCTTCTCCTCTTTCCTCATGTTCCTCCTTTTTCCTCCTCATCCTCTTCCTCCTCCTCGGGTTCCGTGGCGCTTGCTGATAGGCGCGGCGGCGGGCGATCAGAGGAGGAAGAAATACCGATTTGGAGGATCGAACTGTGTATGGAAGTAACGGGTATGAAGACCCAGTCGTGGGGGACAACAACATACGCATCCGCGGCCTCGCGGGTCTGGCCCCTCTGCCGCGACCCCGCATATACGGGGGCGTTTTGGTCACGGATGCCCCGCGCGGAACAAATCTGTGCGACCGCGCATATGTTGGATCGCGTCCCAGAATCCTAAGATGGGGTTCTTGTTATTACTTCGACGCCTCCTACTCCTGCTTCTCCCTCTTCTCCTCTCCTCTCCTCCTCATACCCAGACTTACTCTTACACAGAGTGACTCACACTCAGGCTTGCTCACACACAGACTTACTCACACACACAAAATTACTCATACTCAGACCTACTCATACTCAGACCTACTCATACTCGGACTTACTCATGGTGAGACTCACGCACGCCCCGTTCGCGGCCGTTTTGTGAGGATGCCTCAAGCGGTGTGCTTGTTCCCCATATCCTAAGATGGGGTTCTTGCTATTTCTTGGACGCCGCCGACTTCTCCTCCTTCTCCCTCTCCTCCCCTCTCCTCCTCATACTCAGACGTACTCATACACAGACTGACTCACACTCAGACTTACTCATACCCAGACTTACTCACACAAAATTACTCATACTCAGACCTACTCATACTCAGACCTACTCCTACTCTGACTAACTCATGCTGAGACTCACGCACGCCCCGTTCGCGGCCGTTTTGTGGGGATGGCTCAAGCGGTTTGCCTGTTCTCTGTCCCAGCATCCTTCGTTTTCGGAGCAGATTTGGAGGATGTCTCGAGCGAGGCGCTCATTTTCACGTCCCTAAGGGGAGGCGCCGAGGGGTGATGCACGGTCCCGTTCGCGGCCGTTTTGTGGGGATGTCTCAAGCGGTTTGCCTGTTTTCTGTCCCAACATCCTTCGCTTTCGGAGCAGATTTGGAGGATGTCTCGAGCGAGGCGGTCATTTCACGCCCCAGGTGGGCCAGATTTTGAGGAAGTCTCGATCGGTGGCCAGACTCGTGGGCACAGATTCTCCTCAGGATGCCATTGGAGGCTCCAACAGGCTCCAGGAGGCCCCAGGAGCCCACATGAGGTCCCAGGGGGCATCAGGAGGCCACAGAAAGACTCAAGAGGCCACACGATGTCCCAAGAGGCTCTAGGAGGCCCCAGGAAGCTCCGGGAGGCCTCAGGACGCCACATGAGGCCCCAGGAGGCCAGAGGAAGCGCCAGGAGGCCTCGGAAGGCAACAGGAGGCCCCGAGAGGCCCCAGGAGCAGGAGGCCTCAGAAGGCAACAGGAGTGCCTGGCTCCAATCCCATGTGTTGGACGTATGCTCCTATATATTGGGCCTCACCTGGAGCACGAATCCTTGATGTCATACGTATGTTTCTATATATTGTCCTTCTCCTGTGTACGTGTGTTCCTATAGGGCCTCTCCTGGGGCACGAGTCCTTGGTGTTTTACGTGTGTTCCTATAGATTGCCCCCTTCTCCTGTGGCTCCACTCCGCAATGTTTTATGTCCGTCTGTTGCTATAGATTGCGCCTCTCCTGAGGCACGAATCCTCCCTAGGATGTCCCAGGAGGCCCCAGGAGGCCCCATGAGGCTCCTGGAGGCCCCAGGAAGCCCCAGTAGGTTTCAGGAGTCCCCAGGAGGACCCAGGCTCATGCGCAAAGACGCGCTCGTACTACTGAGGCTCATTCACGCTCCAATTGATTCTCAGTTAGATTCATGACCAGACCGTCACAACTGAAGCCCGTTTATACTCGAAAGCTCTTGCGCCTAGACATTCACGGCGGACAGGTCCATGCCGACCTACTCATTCTCAGATCTACTCCTACTCAGACTTACTCATGCTGAGACTCACTCATACCCAGGCTACCTCATACTGAGAATTGCGGGGCGCTGGTTTCAGCACCCCTAATGGGAGCCGCCAGGGGTGATTTCACGGTCCCGTTGGCGGCCGTTTTGTGGGGATGTCTCAAGCGGTTTGCCTGTTTTCTGTCTCAACATCCTTGGCTACCAGAGTAGATTGTGCGGATGTCTCAGGCGGGGCGCTGGTTTCAGCACCCCTCGGGGGAGCCGCCAAGGGTGTTTTCAAGGCTCCGTCCGTGGCCTTTCTGTGGAGATGTCTCAGCATGATATTCGCATGTTGCGTTGCATGGCTAGACGCGCGTTCCCAGATCCCACTGACAGTTATCCTTTTAAAAAGATGCACATATTGGGATCTCCACGCCGTGAGTGATGTTTGTTTCGGTTTCCAGCTTTTGGCCGACATGTTAGTTAGCAAATGGCTAGAATCCTCTGTCTCCGTGGACTCCACTGCAGGCACTCTGCCTTGTTGTACTCGTTTGAGAGCTCGCTTGCCGTGCACTGTAGGCTCACCCTCACAACGATTAAATCAATTCCTCGCACCCTTCTGTGCGTAAAATCCACATTTGAGACATATTAGAGTGCCGAATCTCTGGTGGACTCCCATCGCATGTGTAGCGTGTAGCACTCTGCCATTAAAAACTTGGGGCCCTGACGGTGCGAGGACGACATCCCCCATCAGGCTTTTGTAGTTCGGAGTGTCGAGGAATCTTTCTAATTCTCTCCGCGGCGCTGACCCTCCACACTCCGTGCATCTAACTCTGGAGCCCGAACAGCGCACTCCATGGTGAGCTTTCAAACTGCAGCTCCTCTCCTCCTTCAGCCTGGCACTGGCAATGTCCCTACTGCTGGGCACATACTTCGAAACTTTTTCCATTATGTTACTCAGAACTCTGGCCAACTGCTTTCTTACTGCAAACCCGATCGCCGTGGACATTTCAATCCTACATCGATCTGCATCGCAAACGCGCAGCTTCTGGGCCAAGACTTCAACTGTCTTGACCGCCACAGCGTTAGCGAAGACATACGCTGCCTCGACGTTCATGTCTATAGCCTCCTCATCTTGGAGGTGACTCTCGGTTTTTATCACTCGGCTTCCTGGGGTCGGGTTCTCGGAACGCACGGCCTGATACCGTTTCCATACATCCACGTGGGTCTCTGGGAGTTTGCTTCGTCGAACCTTGTCGACTCCACGCATGCCATCAGCTGAATCTGTGACATAGACAGCACTCGCCAGCGGAAGAACTGTGGCTGCAAATTCAATCAAGGCAGCGGCTTCACCACGGTTGGCACATTGACGCTTCCTTGGCAGGTTTCCTCCTTGCAAGTGCGCCACACGTAACCCCCCAACGTCGTAGCCCCCATCATTTCGGAAGCCGCCTAGGGTTACAAAAGCCCACGCCACCCTCTTTAGCCTAGGATTCTGATCCACTCCACCACTGGCCTCTCCTCCTCCAAATGACCCCCTGCTCGCCAAAGATCTTGTGGTCCGACTGGCCAAACACGTAGCTGATGGCTTCCTCTAGGGGCTCTGGGACATTCGCCCACGTGAAGGGAACTCAACCTCGGATCCAAAGGCATGGTAGCGTGCCCGCTTCTGCGATGGCTTTATGTATTACTTTATTCGAGACTGGTTGAAACGCTGCGTTAGTTGCGCATTCCCAGCATCTATGTTTGCCCCGCTCTGGAGCTGACCTACAGCGCTGACACGTTGGGTCATCTACCATTCCGTATTCGAAGAGTCGGTGTTCGCACCACGTGGCGTTTGTCGTGGCACATTGCAGTTTCCCTTTCCATTGCACGTCTCCCCTACTGGCTGCTGTCTTGCACTGTCTACGAGGGCCTACCATGTCTGGTACGGCTTGCAAACCCTCTCCCATCCAGGACTTGCGAGTTGCACCAGACCAGAGCTTCCTACTTTTGCTGTCAGCGATGCAAGGACAGAGGAGCTTGACGTCCATGGGACCTTGGCCTAAACGGGGCACTGGGGTCTTGACGGTTTTGCCGATGTCACTGCGCCGCCACCACGGTCCCTCTGGGACCCATTTTAAATCGAGCATCGTGCATATTGTTGTCGCCATTTGGGAACTGACCCTCCTCCATCTGGCGTTGGGGCTGACTTTCCTGAGTCTGTTCAACTATTTCCTCCAGCAACGTTGTACCCTCTCTGGCTAGAGTCTGGGATCCCCGCGGATTCCGAACCACATCTTGACTACATCGCACATTGCCGTGACAGCTGGGTCTTTCTGACCATACTCTAGAGCAAGTAAAGTGGTTCGGCATCGGCCGTTTTTCTTCCCACTGCAAAGGTCGGCTAGAGCCCTTCGCCACTTGATGAGAACATTGGGAGCTGCACCGTACACCTGGTCCGAGTAACGAGACTGCGCGAACGACCAGGTCGATGCCATTCTTTTGGACAGCTCGCTGCGCTTCTAGCACCCTTTGCATCTGGATATTCTGCTGATCTTAATCAATGTTGCTACACCTCTGGCT